CCCCTTCCCCCTCCATCTCCTTCCCCCCCTCCATCCTCTCCCTCACCCTCCCACACCCAACCAAACCCCTCTCTCCCCTCCTCCCTCCTAATCCCTCCACCCCATCAAACCCTCCATATTTCCCTCCCTCCTCTCAATCCCTCCCCCAGTCCAATCCCCTTCCACCCCTTCCCCTCCCCCCATCCCCTTCCTCTCCTTCCCCCCTCTCCCCTTCCTCCCCTTCCTCCCCATCCTCTCCCCTCCCCTCCAGCCCAATCCCCTTCCCCCCAATCCCTTCCCTCTCCTTCCCCTCTCCCCTTCCTCCCCTTACCCCACCTCTCCCCATCCTCTCTCCCCTCCCTCCCCTTCCCTTTCCCTACCAATCCCCTTCCTCTCCTTTCCCCCTCCCCCCTTCCTCTCCCTCCCCCTCCGGCCCAATCCCTTCCTTCCTCCCCACCTCTCCCCATCCTCTCCCTCCCCCTCCAGCCCAATCCTCTTCTTCCCCCCCCCCCTTCTCCCATCCTCTCCCACCCCTCCAACTCCAAGCCAATCCCCTTCCTTCCCTTCCCCCCTCTCCCTCCCCCTCCAGCCCAATCCCCTTCTTCCCTTCCCCCCCCCCCTCTCCCCTCCTCTCCCTCCCCCACCTCTCCTTCCTCTCCCTCTCCCTCCCCTCCAGCCAATCCCCTTCTCCCCTTCCCCCACCTCTCCCCATCCTCTCCCACCCTCCAGCTCCTTTTGTGTTCCGGCGCAATGTACTCCGACCCTCACCCTCAGGACCAATCAGTGGAATTAACACTTTAATGTCCCCGGAGAGCTTTGCGACCCGGAGAGCTTTGTGACCCCGGAGAGCTTTTGTGACCCCGGAGACAAGATGGAGAGCTCGGGGTCGACGGGGAAAGGAGCCGGGGAAGTCTGCTGGAGATTCTGTGCATGAGAGGAGAGGGGGAGGGGAGAAGGTTAAGGGGAAAGATGGTGAGGGGATGGGGAGAGAGGGAGGGGAATGGGGAGAAGAGTGAGGGGTGGGGGAGGGAGAAGGGAGAGGAGAAGGGGAGGGAGAGGGGGAAGTAGAGGGGGAGGAGAGGGTAAGGGGAAAGATGGGGAGGAGGGATGGGGAGAGAGGGAGGGGGGTGGGGGGAGAGGAGAGGGAATGGGGAGAGAGGGAGAAGGAGAGGAGAGGGAAGGGGGAGAGAGGGAGAAGGAGGGGCGAGAGGGAGAGGGGGAGAAGGAGAGGAAGTGTGGGAGGGAGAGGGAAGGGGAAGGAAGGAGGAGAGGGAGGGGAAGAAAGGGAGGTGGAGGGTGAGGGGAGAGAGAAAAACGAGGGGAGGGGAAGAGAGGGGAGTGTGGGAAAGGAAAAAGGAGAAAGAGAGAGAGAGAGAGAGAGAGTGAGATAGATAGATAGATAGATAGAGAGATAGAGAGAGAGAGAGAATGAAAGACAGACTGGCCGACATGTATATGAATAAACAGGAATAGAGAATAGAGAAAGAATATGAAATGAATTGGATAAAAGGATGAAAATGACTTTCTTAGCAGGATCTAATAATAATAGCAACAACAAAAACAATAACAACAGCAACAATAATAACAATAATAATAATGATAATGATGATAATGATAATATTGCTAATGATGATAATGATAATAATGATAATAGTAATAATGATAACAATGATAATAGCGAAATGTATTTTGCTAGCGGGATATACATTATGTCATATATTGAAAAACTGCAAAATGATGATGACTATTATAATGATAACGGTAGTAATAATAGGAAAATATAACGATGACGATAATGGTAGTTATGATAATGACAGTGCCAATAAAGCTAATGATTGTGATGCTGATGAACATATTCATAGCATCAGCTGAAGTATTAGTAATAATAAAAGTTGAAATGCTACAAAATAATGATGAAAATGGTCACAGTGATGAGGATAATAAAAGCAATAAGTAATGACAGTGAAAATAATAACGATAATAAAGATAGTGATAATGATGGTAATAATGATGATCTTTTTATTTTTTGTTTGTGTTATTATTATCACTATTGTTTTTATTATTATTATTAACATTATTATAATTATTATTACTATTATTAGTATTTTCATTATTGTTATTGTTATTATTATTATTATTGCTATTATTATTATTATAATTATTATTATTATTATCATTATTACTATTATTATCATTATTATTATTATTATTGTTTTTATTATTATTATTATTTATATTATTATTATTATTATTATTTAATTATTATTATTATTATTATTATTATTGTTTTTTATTATTATTATTATTATTATTATTATTATTATTATCATTATATTATTGTTATTGTTGTTGTTGTTTGTTATTATATTATTATCATTATTTTTTATTATTATATTTTTTATTATTATCATTATCATTACTACTACTACTACTACCATTTTTTAAATTATTATTGTTATTATCATTATTATTATTATCATTACTATCATTATTATTATTACTATCATTGTTGTTATTATTA